ATTGAAACCTGTGTACCATGTGCAACCCTGCCAGCACTTGAAACACCGGTGGCACAGCTTCAAGCCTCACAGCAACATGCAATCCATAACAGTATGACAAACTGACAGACAAGTTTGTCTTGCTTAGCTGTTCAAAACCTCTCTGCCCTCCCCTTACCTGTATCCCTGGTGCTGCTCTGCTCTGTAGTCCCTCTGGCTTCTCTTTCCCCTGCTTTCCTGGCTGGTGGGGGTGTGGCCTGGGTCCCTTCCTCCCCTTACCTGGATGCCTGGCTGCTGCTCTGCTGTGTCTTTGCCGCTGGCTTCTCTTTCCTCTACTTTCCTGGTGGGTGGGGGTGGGGCCTGGGTCCCTCCCTCACTTTACCTGGATACCTGGCTGCTGATGATAGATTGTTGTTGTTGTTGTTGTTGTTATGTGCCATCGAGTCGGACCCAACTCATAGCGATCCCTCCTTGGGTTTCCGAGGCAGTATCACTATGGAAGTAGATTGGCCAAACTTTCTTGCAAGGAGTGGCTGGTGGGTTTGAACCACCAGCCTTTTGATTAGCAGTCAAGTGCCTTAGGCACTATGCTACCAGAGCTCCTAAGATGATAGATTAGAAGACTTAAAATTGTTAATATGGCAATGTTCTCCAAACTGGATCTATAGACTCAAAACAATCCCTATCAGAATACCAGTTGGCTTCTTTGTAGAAATTGACAAGCTGATTTTAAAATTAACATGGAATTTGTAAGGGACCCAAGTGGCCAAAAGAATTGTCACGAAGAAGATTCACCCTTCCCAATTTCAAAACTTACTGCAAAGCAATTGTACTCAAGGCAGTACAGTATTGGCATAAGGGTGGACATGTAGACCAGTGAAATAGAATTGAGAGTTCAGAAATAAACCCAGGTATCTAAGGTCAAATGGTTTTTGATAAGGATATCAAAACCATTCATTGGGAAAAGAATAGCCTTTTCAACAAATGGTGCTAGGATAACTAGATAGCCATATGCAAAAGAGTAAGACGTTTACCTCACACTGTATACAAAAATTAACTCAAAATAGATTAAAATATGTATGTATACACACACAAAAAAAATTAAAATTATAAAACTCTTGAAAGAAAATATAGGGGTAAATCTTTGTGACCTGGGATTTGGCAATAAATTCTTAGATTTGACACCAAAAGTACAAGCAACAAAAGAAAAAAAATAGATATACTGGACTTCATCAAAATTAAAACTTTTGTGCTTCAAAGGACACTATCAAAACCATGAAAAGACACACAGAATGAGAGAAAACATTTGCAAATCATATATCTGAAAGAGACTTGTATCCAGAGTATCCAACTTTTTCAACTCAGTAATAAAAAGACAACCCGATTTAAACATGACAGAGAATCTAAACAGACATTGCTCCAAAGGAGATGTACAAATGGGCAATAAGCACATGAAAAGATCATTAGTCACCAGACAAATGCAAATCAAAACCAAACAAAATATCACTCCACATCTACTTGCATGGCTATAATAAAAAAAAAAAAAGTCAGATAATAATAAGTGTTGACAAGTATGTGGATAAATCAGAACCCTTATACATTGCTGATGGGGATGTAAAATGGTACAGACACTTTGGAAAAAAGTATGGCGGTTCCTCAAAAAGTTAAACATAAAGGTACCATATTACCCAGCAAAGCCACTCTTAGGTATATATCCAAGAGAATTGAATATAACAGGTATCCACACAAAACCTGTTTACATGAATGTTTACAGGAGCATTATTCACAACCAAAAGGTGAACAAAATCCAAATGTCTATCATCTAACAAACAGAGAAACAAAATACAGTAAATATACACAATCTAATATAATTTGGGGATTTCTGGTGGCATAGTGCCTAAGGCATTTGACTGCTAACAGAAGGCTGGCAGTTCAATCTCACCAGCCACTCCTCAGAAGGAAGACTGGGCAATCTACTTCCATAGTGATATCGCCTCAGAAACCCAGGGAGGGGTCAGAATGAAGAACTGATACATGCTACACCACGGATGAAACCTAGAAACATCATGCTAGTGAAAGAAGCCAATCACAAAAGCACCCAGAGCCATACGATTCCATTTATATGAAATGGCCAGAGGAGGCAAACCTATAGAGACAGAAAGTAGATTAGTGGTTGCTGATGGCTAGCGGAGGTGAGAATAGGGTAGTGATAGCAAAAGGATAGAGAGTTTCTTTTCAAGGTGGTAAAAATATTCTAAAATTGATTGTGATGATGGCTGCACATATCTGAGAATACACTAAAAATCATTTAATTATATACGTTAAATAAGTGAATTGCATGATGATGAATTATATCTCAATGAAGCTGTCATTTTTTAAAGGGATGCCAGCTAATAAATGATGAAGGAATGATAGAGTATCATCACCTTTGCCAACCCCTAATGAAATACTGAATGCAGATAACCATCATCACTAACCACTAAGATGAAAAAAAAGAGACACTCAGACTTTATGAGCCTCCTAATAGAAGTGCACAGTACCACCTTTAAAGTCTTCTCACCAAAACAAACCTGAACTAGCCCCAGCCTCTCACTAAGTTTCCAGGAAATACAGAGAAACATTAAACAACATCATGGGGATGCAGTCAGCAAAGTCCAGAACGTGGGAAAAGCTACAAAGCAAACAACTTTGTTTCTTCAAAACCTAAACTGCAAGGAAAGAAAAAGGGGAAAAGAGGAAGGGAGGGTGACCTATAGATCAAAAGAGATTTTAGAAACGTCAGCCTTGAGCAGTGTGCTCTTTTAAGGTCAATCTATAAGGGATCAAATTGACAACAGCAACTCAAAAAACCTGATAGGAAACTTAGGGGCAGTGAGTTTATGTCAACGCGGGAAGAACAACTTGGAAAAGGAGGGAGAGAATGGCTGCGTGACTGGAGGAACGTCACTGACTTGAACGCGCAGAAGTTACTGAACTGATGAAGGCCCTCCAGCGCACGCGCTCAACAACAAACATTCATCATTTTTTCAGAAAGAGGTTTTAGGGCAGATCAACCACACACCATTTATAAACTGGTTTGGATCCTAATTCAAATGTTCAAAGGGAAGTTTGAACACAGCCTGGATATTGATAACATTAAGCAACTATTATCAATTTTTGGTATGAAATGATCTTTGGGTAATGTCACATAAAATCCTTTCCTTTTAGAGATGCATCCTGAAATATTTATGAATAAAATGACTTTCGCTTCAAAATAATGTGCGAAATAGGTGGAGGAATAGATGAAACCAGGTTGGCCATAAGTGGGTCATTGCTGAAGTAAATGCAGGTGGGCTCTTTAACTTCTGTATATGTTTCAAATGTTCCTATTTTAAAAAATTAATAAATAGCAGCTGGCATCCCTGAAACCCAAACTACTCACAGGCAGGAAGTGCAGTTTAAGATCAACCATTATTCCTAACGCTCTGACGTGGCTTCCGGAGACTGACAGAAACTAGGGCAGAGTAGAGTGATGAAAAGCTCCGAGCTGGGGCCAGGCAACCCAGATCCAACTCAGTTCCACCGCTCCCCGGCTGGTGACCAAGGCAGGTCCCCGCTCTGGGCCTCACTGTCCTCCCCATTAAAATGGGAGCTGCAAACTAGACGATTTCTAAACTGTGAGGTTAAATTCTTCCCTCTTAAAACTCCTCCCAAACGACAGGTATGTGCAGGCAAAGCCTAACTTTTGCAGGACCCAGAACAAGAGTAAAAAAGTCGGCCCACTAGTAACAATGTCTAAATATTTAAATATTACAAATCAAACTGAAAAAGTGTTCAATAAAACATATTCTTTCCTCCCACTTTGAAAAACATACCTTCATTATGACCCACAAGGCCAGGTTCAAATTTAGAGTTCACAGATTCCTTGCAGTTCCACACCTGACGTACAATTTGGGAAGAACCAGCCCAAGCCCATGGCCCAGCCTTATCTTTTCACCTCCAACTCCCACATGTATTGAGAAAGACACATGTGGATACCCAAACCCACATGTCCAAACTCTGGAGACATCCCCTCTAAATAGCCTTCTCTTAGCCATCTCAGACCCAGCGGTGCACACACTGGTGGCACAGTTCACTTTTGGGAGAGCAGACCCAGGGAAGAGACCTGCACGGGCCTGGAAGCAGGCTTGAAGCCATTTGGGCAGGGGATCCAGGGTTCCAGGTACCAGGAACAAGGTCTAGAAGGGGAGACACGGGCTCTAAGGCATCACTTGGTCCTGTGTACTGCTCTCTCTGTGGAGAGGGACATGGACAGAAAAGGACCAGAGCAGGACTTAGATCGAGGGCCTTTCTTGCCAGATTTAGGGGTTGTATGTGGTACATAAGGGTTTCATTATATTATTCCCTCTACTTTTATGTAATTTTGAAACTTTTTATAATAAAGTTTTTTTTAAATACTAAAAGATGAAAAATAAATCCTTCCCAAATCAGCCCAAGTCTCCTGAGATTTTACAATTCCGAGTCTCTGAGCACCACTGAAACCTTCCTATAGACTCAGCTCCTTAGAAACCAGACCTTTAGAATCTTCCAGGCAAATGTGAGTCCAGCACTACATACGTGGGGAACAATGGATATCATTTGGGAATGATGTGGGTCTCATCCCCAGAAGAAACCATTTCCAGGAAATAAGAGGAAAAGCTAAGAACACAGTAGGGGTTTCCATAGCCCAAATTCAGACTGAAAACCTTTCAGTTCTTAGAAAAGAAATACAAGTGACCCAGAAATGAAGACAAATCTCTCCCTTCCTCCCAAAAACAGAGAATGAGCCTTTTAACTGAAAAGCAGCCGTGTTTAATCACCAATATAGTCCTGGCCCTAACAGAAGTGAGATCATCTCAATTCTAAAGGGGTAGGTTTTTTCTCACTCACTCACTTCACAGGCAAGTAGAACTGAAGAAAGAAAACAGAACTCAGGGCCTGGAAGAGACGCCTTCCCATCCTTCGCGTCAAAGGCTGTTGTCTTCGGGATTAAGCATCCTGCTCTAGAAGGAGGGCACCCGAGTGATGCCTTTAGCCTGTGCCTCCAGAGACTCTTCACTCAGTGCCCTGGAGGGTTGAGTCTCCTCGTCGGTGGCCTGAAGGATCCTCAGAAGTCTGAGCTCAGGATTCCAGGTGGTTCTAGCTGTATTGGCTGAAAGGTTCATGGGGGTCTCTCCACTGGAAGTCTGGGATTCCAGGTCAACCTCCACTTGAGCACTGAAGTCCTCCTTAGTGGACAGTGTCTTGACTAATTCAGCACCTAAAAGAAGACCCCGCTATTAATTGTACCTATAGCCTTCTCCCAAATTGGGAAAAACTGGGGACAGAGGCAAAGAAGGAAGGGCTGGAATGTCTTTAGGACCCATTTAAGGGCTGAGGACTGTGCCCTTCAGGGTGGGCAACACAGGTTCAGTCCTCCCTGTTTTCAGTCACTCACTAAGGCTCCTTTACTCTCATAACTTACTCCTGCGCCGGGGGAAGGAGTCTGGGAAGTTCTTAAGGTAGCCCATCTCTGGCTTCTCTGTTCCATCCTGAAATTCATTGGGGTAAAAAAAGAACTAAGACTTTAGGAAACAAAAAGGATTTTTCTAGAAGATGCTTTTCTCTAGAAAAGTAACTTTTAATACAGGCCAAACAGGCACCTCCTGCAACTCAAGGGCCTGTAGCACACATTCTTTGCCCAACAGGCTGTCCAGCTGAAGCCGAAAGCCACTTCTTCCTCTTCCCAGTTGTCAGCTAAGAGCTTGCGGCGGGCTGCCTCCAAGACAGATGCCAACAATTCCTCCAGACGGATGCCAACAATTCCTCTCCTACCCGTAGACACATGCTGTTCCTTCTATCAAAAGGAGGAAGCTATGTCCCTTCCTCTTGATTCTGGGCTGACCTTGTGACTTCTTTGGCCACTAAAATGTGGCAGAAGTGACAATGTGCCAGTGCAGGCTTAGCCTTTAAGAACGTGATTTCATTTTTTTGAGACCACTATGCTATCAAGAAAAGAACCTGGTGGCACAGTGGTTAAGCACTTGGCTGCTAACCAAAAGGTCAGTGGTTCAAACCCACCAGCTACTCCACGGGAGAAAGATGTGGCAGTCTGCTTCCATAAAGGTTACAGCCTTGGAAACCCTATGGAGCAGTTCTACCCTGTCCTCTAGGGTCACTGAGTTGAAATTATCTCAACGGCAACGGGTTATGCGTTATGCTGTCACGAAGCTCAAGCCAGCCACATGGAAGGGCCACATGGAAGAAACCCAGTGTAACCTGGCTAACAGCCACGCCCAGCCTCCAGCTGAATGCAGCTGCACGAATGGCCAGAATAATTGTTCAGTCAACCCATGGAATCATGAGAAATACCAAATCACTATAGTTTAAGCTGTGGGGTGGTTTGTTATACAGCAACAGACAATATAAACAGTATGGCCCAGGTACACTCTCACCTGTTTCAAGGTGGATCTTCCTATCTCCATCTGCTGCTGCTGCTTTGTCTCACTTTCCTCATCTGGTAGAGTACTATGACCTATGACCACAAAGCCAATTCAATTCTCTTCTTATTGGAGTTTCATATCCCATCAGCAGGCTTCTAGTTGACCCCTAGTCTACAAATGACTTGTCTTATGTCCAGGACAAGACTGGACATTAGTGGAAGGTAATAGGGACTTAAGCCTTCTGCATTCTATTAGTGAGTCTGTTCACCTGGAACTGTGACTACATCTATTAGAAAATAAAGATAAGGATCATTTGTGTGTTAAAAGACTCAGAATTCCTCCAAGAAACCTCTGGGGCAGCATGTACACATTACAGCAACAAAAGAAACTCTAACTCTACCTGTTTTCAGTTTATGAATACTGCTCTTAGCAGAATGTGGTTCACCTTCCACTGCCTTCACTAATGAGCCCATGTTGGTTTCTGGAATAAAGGAAAAACACACACACACACACACACACACACACACACAAAAAAACCCTCTAATTGTGATATGTTGTTGTTGTTTCTATGTTTTCCTTTATAAATTTGTAACAAAATAATGTGCTCAAATAATAAAAGATAGTACAGAAGCATTTATAATAAAAAGAAAGAGTTCCCTACCCCAGCCCCTACTTCCTAAAGGAAACTAATTTTAACTCTCTGTTTTAGAGCTGATGATTAACTCCTTAAATCTAAATATTATTCTTAAAATGCTGTCTCTTTTGGTCTATTTAAGGTATTATTCACTGACTCCTCAGTATGAAAGATCAAGGTGTACCTCACCTTATTTTGTCTTCTCTACATCTCTATGGCAGTAAAAACTCTAGTTTTCTTTCTTTTGTATCAGATGTTTCTCCAACTGATTCCTAAATGCGAATGCATTTTTTGTTTTTTGTTTTTGTTTTCCTTTTTCCCTTTATCTAAACAAACATCTTCCAAGGTGCCACCAGATATACCGTGCTAGTATCTTGGTTCCCAAGCAGCAGTAGTTCTCAGTTTAGCTGCACCTTGGAATCACTGGGTTTCAACACCAGAAATTCTGATGTAATTGGTCTGGGGTGCAGCCCCTACCTAGCTCTTCAACCTGATCTACCTCTTTCCCTTAAATGTCCGAGACCACAGCTACACTGAACTGCTGTGTTCCCTGAGCAAACTGTGCTCCTCAAGATGCCATGCCTTTGCAAAGGTTGTTCACATTTCCAGGAATTCTCTTCCATAGTTGGAAAAGTCCCATATATTTTCAAGATTCAGGCCAAAAACACCTTTCCATAAGGCCTTCTCCAACTCAGATAGGACAGGCCACTGCTCTAAGAATATGACTCAGAGAGGCACCCAGTCATCCAAGCAAAACTGCTCCTAGTGGAGATGTCAGGAAGAAGTACAAAAGACACTGGAGTGGGATTCAGGAGACTGGTAGTGATCACCCTGGATGAGATGCTAACCTTGGACTAACAGCCATGGGCCACAGCCCTGGTTCTGTCTCCCATGTGAAGGTCTGGACCCTTCTTACGTATTTAGGTTAGAGGGCATCACTGGTATCAGCAAGCTCAAGTTGGAGAGAAGGTTAAACCAAGAGGGCAGCCTCTTTCTCCAAAGCATCTCACCTGAGCCTGCCCACTGCCCCAGGATTGGAGAGTGAATTCTGATCAGTAAACAATAGTTTTCACATTAAAATCAGCAATGCCCAGTCTGAGTAGGGCAGAACAAATTTCCAAGGTTTAGAGAGATTCTTTTTCCCTCCCTCACATTCCCCACTCAAGCTGAGAAACAAGTCAGAGGAACCAAGGTCAGTACTATCCCTCAGCTTGACACGAGTAGGGACTCTGGAAAGGAGAGATACCCATCATCACCCCCAGCATGAACACCAGAGAGAAAGCACTGCCTGTCAAGAACTGGCTAGTGGCCTCCTGGCTGAGGCTACACAGGATATTGACTTCATCTTGAGATTCCAGAGACTCTACCTTGTGGTTGGAAGCTGGAGGGTCCAGGAGAACTGCTTACTCAGAACTTTTTGGGGCTTTAGTGAGTACTCCCAACTCTCTTGTCTCATTGGCCAGTGGACCCTGAGGGGTCTTCTCTTCATAACCCGCACTTGCAGCTTCTACTTCTGATCCTCAAATTGCTCTGCATTTACTAAGGTGGGGCCTGAGTGAAACATGACGATGACTCCTGTTCATGGTCATCTCCCAAATCCCCACACAAAACAGAGGGAAACACAGCTTCTTTGCTTAGTAAATATTTGATGGAAATATGATGCATGGTAGCCACCCAATCGGAAGCATTCCAAGAAGAATTCTGAGAGTCTGAGAAAGACAGACCCCAAAGTGACAAAAACAGTCAAATGTCCTCCCCTCAGCTACATCCTGGGAATAATCCCGAGTTCGTATTCTTTTCAAACACATATTCACTCCTAAGCACATACTCACTCCTAAACACATATTTTCCTCACCAGAGACAGGGTCACAAAAGATGACGACTTTACGTTTCCGTCCTGGATCATTCTTGGTTTTCATTTCAATCTCCTGAAATCCACATGAGTAGGAAGTGAATTAGGACTTTTGGGAGTGAATAGAAGATTTCAAAAAGAGGTTAAAAATGTAATATTTACAACCACATGGGAGTGATCCCTCTAGAAACCAAGAATCCCACCTCCCATCCATCCCTAACCATTCCAGGTGGCAACTACTCCTCCTGGTCCCAGCAAGCCCGAAGTTCCCTCACTGCCCTCTACCTGTTCCTGTACCTTAGCTGGTGTTTTCACCTCCTCCTGCTGCTGCTGCTTCCTGAGACCTGGCAACCACAGAGCCAGCTGGGTCCTCTTCTCGATGACTGCTCCCACCCTCCCCCAGGGCTGCTCGCCGTGCTCCACTCCACAACAGTACTCTCTTCCTCTGGTCAAGACCAAGCCAGGGGAGCTGTTTCCTGTATGACTATGACCACAAACCCAACTGAATTGGGACCAAGAGAGAGTGTGGGAAATGTGGGTTAAATGGGGCTGGTACCTGGAGGTCTGACAGCCTCAGGAAATGGAGCTTCTGGCATCAAGTTATAATGCAACTTCCTCAAATGCTCAGGATGTCTCCGCCCTGGTTTCTGGAGGGAAAAAAGAAGAAGAAGAAGAAAAGTGCTGGTGTAGGTCCTTCCTTTTTGCCAAATGTGTTCTCCAAATGCATTTATTCACCTACTCAACAAGCACATTTTGAGAAGCCAATGTTGTGCAGCATCGTACCAGGGGCCATGAAAATAGTGCAAAGGTGTGAAGGAAGAAAAGCAGAAGAAATAGAAAACAGTGCCTTCCTCAAACCCTTCCCCACACATGTGGGTCCAGAGTGGAAGGACAGAAGAGAAAGAAGGAATGGAAAGTCAACCCTTCCAACACAGAAGAGAGGTAAGTCTGAACTTTCACGTAGACATCTTTCTTTGACACTACCAGCTCTTACCTGCAGGGTGAGGCCCTGTACAGATAGAAACATCCTAGAAGAAATTGCACTGTCAGGACATCTCTTTTCTAAGGCATGTTTTTTATTCATTATGGCCAATTCTATCCTCATATTTTCAGAAGGCATGGTTTTCCATTTATCTGTCAAAAGTCTGAAGGGGACAAAGATAGCCAGCTCAGAGACAGTCAGCAACAGCTCTTCTGGGAGAATGTGGCTTAGGAGAAAGATAAAAAAGGGCTTGAAACTTGAAAAAATTTCCACTCTGGGTATGAAAAGCCTGTGCTAACAGATACTCATTCAGTAACACCTTTCAAATGCACTTACAAAATCACTCCTGGATTGATCGAGTCTGTCCTGTATGTCAGGCTCATGTGCCTCCACACCACCGAATCTTTACAACACCCTGACAGACAGGTATTATCCTCATTGTAAAATGAGGAAAATAAGGCTAGGTGAATTACCAAAACTCATAAAGCCAGTAAGTTTCAAGACAAATTCAAAGACTGTCTTATCCAAACCACATTTACTACTCTGCATCCCACTTATCCATAACTCATCTGTAGAAGAGAAGAGTGTAGTCATGCCTGCCTCCCCCACGGCTGTTGTTGGTGCATGCCGTCGAGTCATTCCAACTCACAGCAACCCTCTGTGACAAGGTGAAACTGCCCCATCGGGTTTCCTAGGCTGTAACCTCTACCGCAGCAGATCCCACGGAGCAGGTGAACGTGTTCTACCGCCAGCCTTTCAGTAGCAGCCGAGTGCTTAACCATCGGGTTTAGATGAGAGAACACGTATACAGTGCTGAGCACGGACGGAAAGTGCCTGATAGGTGTGGTAGTTACTACTGTCATCACTGCATGCTGGTGAGTCTAAGAGCTCAGGAAACAAGCAGGGTAATGGCTGCCTCCCCTCTCAGAAAGAGCACACTGCTTAGACCTTCTCGGCTTCAAGGAAAAAGCAGGTGCTCTGGATCTTCAGGACTCACATGATACTTACTCCTTTAGCTCCTGAGGCAACATGTTGATTTGGGCCCAAGGAAGTATGGAGTCTGTGTTTAACTCCTCAAACAAATGCACGGGGGAGGGGGGAGGCACAACCACCTCTTGACTTCCAGCCTGTGTCTCCATGCTCTGCTTTGCTGAGGAACCCACAGCGAACTCATTTTCCTGGAAGAGAAACAGTGGGAAGAACTCCCTGAAGCACTCTCGACAAGCCCACCTCTTCCCATCCACACTCTAGCCTTTCAACAACCCTTCCGTAGTATACTTGCTTCCAGACCCACTCCAGCAACCCCTGCCCTCTGCACTGTGGGGGCCACACATCTTTCACTCTGAGTATCCCAACCTTATTGTTGTCTTCAGATCATATAAGGACTGTTTGTCTTTTTTCCCAGAAAGGTTATTCATTCATTCATTCAAAAACTTGACCAAATATTTACTGTACCAACTATGTGCCAGGCACAGGACTAGGTCTGGGGATTCAGCAGTGACCAAAACAGAATACACAACTTTCAAGGACTTAGCAACTGACAGTTCTGTGAAGTATCCAAGACCACATCTAACCCAATAAATGATGGAATTAGAATTAGAACCTCAAATATTATCATTCCGGGTCCACTGAACTTCTATCCCATTTTACCCCATTGGTCAGTCACTTTTTAACTGACCAAACACGTCTATGAATACCCAACCATTCCTCCAATTGTCAGTCCAAGGTGCTCTTTACCGCCCTACAGGGAAAAGAGCCTTTGAACAAAAGATGGTTTGGTAATTATTCTTAAAAAGGATTTTCTTCTTCAGATTTTGCTTATTTAGGGAAAAAATAGAGAAGGGGGGGAGGGAAAACAAAAATTAGGCCTCCAGAGTCATATCACAAAGGTTTGGCCAAATCAGAACTCACCATTGCAAACTTCTTTCTTCTCTCCCTCCCATCCCAGCTGGTGACATCAGCCTTCTTCTCAGCTGGACTGGAAATAAAAGTGACTGCCACTTACTCCCTGACACTCAAAATGGAAGCACCAAGAATACCTGTGAACACCGACCACGAGCGTTTCTCTTCTTCTAGCCAGCACGCAAAGACGACTCCCTGGGAGCCCAGCAGAACCTGCTGCCCCAAGGCTGCTGAAACAAGCCACTCACCCTCACACCTGAATTCGGTTCCCCACTATTCTCTCACATAATCAGTTATTTACTTTCAGAGCATTAGTCCAAACTGGTAATTATCTTCTTAGCTGTGGTTGTGTTTGTAATGTCTCACTCCCCTATAAGACTGTAAACCCCAGGAAGGCAGGACCAAGTCTACTCCACTCTCCACCGAATCTCAGAGAAGGCCTTCAGCAAGTACTGAATATTGTTTGTTCTCACAACTTCCTCTTCCTTCCCTCCTGCTATGTGGATACAATGGGTGCAGCTTTAGCAGCCAACATACTATAAAGCGTTTTACAACAGGGAAGTCATAGACTGAGAATGATGGGCCAGAAAACTAGGAGTCTCAGTCTCTGGTTACCTCATGACTGATATTAGAGATTCACACACTTCACTGAGAACTTTTTCACTGGTTGCTGGTAACTAATAAGAAAAACTAACACTCAGAAAGCATTAATTTCTTAATCAAATCTCACAAATACATTGGCCCTATCCTGCGTGGTACTTATACCATGCAGAATTTGAAATAGAGAGTCCTATAGAACCTCAGAGTGCATTAAAGTAGAATTCTGGAAGGCAAATCCTTGGAGACAGAAAGTCGGTTAGTAGTTGCCTAGGGCTGGGCTGGGGGAATGCAAGTGGGGAATAACCGCTAATGGGTCCAGCGTTTCTTTTGACAGTGATGAAAATGTTCTAAAATCGATGGTGGTGACGACTGCATACATGTGAATATACTAAAGACCACTGGCTTGTACACTTAAAGTAAACAAATCATATAGCATGTGAATTACATCTCAGTAGAGCTGTTCTTTTAAAAAAATAATACGATTCAGTCCTAAAGAAAAATGAAGTCCTGATAGATGCTATAACATGGATAAACCTCAAAAATGTTCCTGCTGAGTGAAATAAGTCAGTTGGAAAAGGACAAACATTGTTTGATCTCACCTACATGAAACAGGCATATGTATAGAGACCAAAGTATGTTAGTGGTTATCAGGGGTGGGAAGGAGCGGGGAAAGGGAAGTCACTGCTTAGGGGTCACTGAGTTTCTGTTAATGGCAGTGGAATAATTTGGAAAAGGATATTGGTAACAGTTGTACAACATGATAATGTAATCAATGTCATGGAACTGCACATGTAAAAATTGTTGAATTGGCAGATGTCATACACATTTTTACCACAATTTAAATAATAATAATAATAATAGAATGCTAGTGTGGCCAGAGGCAGATGCAAGAGACCATGGCTGCCATCTTTGCTGGCCTCCTGCTAGCTCAATGACATAGATAAAAGAGACATCACCACACAGAGGCCTGCAGAGGAAATGCTTAGGGATTTGCTGAACGTAATAGCTGAAGGCCTCTGAGTTTCCAGACATGATGTTTACCTTCTCCTCTGCTTCTCTGGTCCTTCTGGGAGCCAGACCACAGCCATATTTCCCACATCTTGAGGACAGGGAAGCAGTGTCTTATTCAAATTCAGCACTGAAACCTAAGAGAGACAGAAAACCCATATATGCCTTTCACTTAACACAGGCTCCCACTAGTATTCAACACCAGACTAAAGACTGATTGATCCTCCTCATTGAAAGGATTCAGTGGTTCAGAAAACAAAGGGTAACACGACATTTCCCATCCCCAAAAGGTCTTCATAATTTTCCCCCAAGGAACCAACTATTTCAGCAATTATCAGTAGAGGCATCTCTGCAAGAGTGAGCATTGGTAAGTGAATACCCTCCAGTGCACCCTATAAAGGTGCTCGAGTGGCACCGTGGTTAAGGCATTCAGCTGCTGACCAAAAGGTCGGCGGTTCAAACCTACCAACCACTCCACCAGAGAAACATGAGGCAGTCTGCTTCCCTAAAGATTTACAGCCTTGGAAACATTATGAGGCAGTTCAACTCTGTCCTAAAGGGTCACTATGAGTTGAAATCAACTCAACAGCAGTGGGTTTGTTTTTTCGGTTAGCTTCCCTGTAATGTTAGGGTGGCCTTTAGAAACCACCATCCCATTCCATTTAAGGATGCCTTGGGGCTCACATGGGAAGACTAGTCATTCTGCCCTGCCATTCTGAAGACTTATATCCCCTGCAGATAATACACCTGGCAGTTTGGGAGCAGGGAGAGAACTGATAAGAGACAGAAGTAGTTGTAGGCAACCTGCAAAAACAAAACTGCTTCTGTTTCATACATATGTAAATTCAGGGACCCTTGAAAGTATGGCTGGTGTGTGAAATCTTGAATAGACTTGGCAGCCCTTACCTGT